GGGGATGGGTGGGGGTTCCAACGCTTCGGCGCACATGCTGTTTGGCGCAAAACGCGCTTCCAATCCGGATTGAGTGCCGTAATTTCTTCTTTTCTGTTAAAATTGTTTTGGTGTTTAAATATTTCGATGGCCTCCCTGGTGCGTCTCGGGTAGTATCTTTCAGATTGGTGCAGAATGTCAACTTCGTCGAAGCGTATTTGGTGGCCGTCTAGTAGTGCGTGCTCCGCTACCGCTGATTTTTCCATTTGTCCTAATCTGCAACTTCATTTGTGCTCCGTGATCCTAGTGTTTATGCTTCGTTTTGTGGTGCCGATGTATGCTCTTGGAACTCTGTTTAGTTAGCGAGAAAAATAAGTTTGTGATGTTTAGACCAACTTTGTAGTTAGCGAGAAAAACACGTTTGTGATGTTTAGACCAACTTTGTATGGCAAACTTAAATTTCCGAAGAAAACCCAGCTGAAAAATAAATTTACAGCAAACTTCCTAAATTCCAACAGAAACGAAGATTTTGAGCTGAAAAGATACTTACCGCGTTTAGTTAGCGAGAAAAACACGATTGTGTTGTTTAAACCAACTTTGTAGTTAGCGAGAAAAACACGTTTGTGATGTTTAGACCAACTTTGTATGGCAAAGTTAAATTTCCGAAGAGAAACCAGCTGAAAAATAAATTTACAGCAAACTTCCTAAATTCCAACAAAAACGAAGATTTTGAGCTGAAAAGATACTTACCGCGTTTAGTTAGCGAGAAAAACACGATTGTGATGTTTAGACCAACTTTGTAGTTAGCGAGGAACACACGTGTGTGATGTTTAGACCAACTTTGTATGACAAAGTTAAATTTCCGAAGAAAAACCAGCTGAAAACTAAATTTGCACAAAACTTCCTAAATTCCAACAAAAACGACGATTTTGAGCTGAAAAGATACTTAGCGCGTTTAGTTAGCGAGAAAAATACGTTTGTGATGTTTAGACCAACTTTGTATAACAAAGTTAAATTTCCGAAGAGAAACCAGCTGAAAAATAAATTTACAGCAAACTTCCTAAATTCCAACAAAAACGACGATTTTGTGCTGAAATGATACTTAGCGCGTTTAGTTAGCGATAGAAACACGTTTGTGATCTTTAGACCAACTTTGTATGACAAAGTTAAATATCCGACGAGAAACCAGCTGAAAATTAAATTTGCACAAAACTTCCTAAATTCCAACAAAAACGAAGATTTTGAGCTGAAAAGATACTTACCGCGTTTAGTTAGCGAGAAAAACACGATTGTGTTGTTTAGACCAACTTTGTAGTTAGCGAGAAAAACACGTTTGTGATGTTTAGACCAACTTTGTATGGCAAAGTTAAATTTCCGAAGGAGAACCAGCTGAAAAACAAATTTGCAGAAAACTTCCTAAAATCCAACAAAAACGACGATTTGGAGCTGGAAATAT